TTTCGCCTTCTGTGTACTTTTGATAGTTACGTCAGAAACGTAATACAATTGTTTATATATATATATATATATATATATATATATATATATATATATATATATATATACATATGTGTGTGTGTGTGTGTGTGTGCGTATATATATATATATATATATATATATATATATATATATATATATATATATATATATATATATATATATTTGCATATGTATACACATCTATATATTCATATCTATCTATCTATCTATCTATCTCTCTCTCTCTCTCTCTCTCTCTCTCTCTCTCTATATATATATATATATATATATATATATATATATATATATATATATATATATATATATACATATAGATATACATAGAGAGAGAGACAGACAGACATCTGTGTTTGTGTGTATCATTGTAGGTATTTACGTCAGTATGTAAGTGTGTGTGTATACACTATATGTGTGCCATGTCATCTTCCAGGATATAGGTCGTATAATTTCATCTAGACTTCATTACCTCCCATCTGCAGTATGTGGGTCATGTACCTTTTACCTTCGCCAGGTCACATATTCAGTAGCATATATCCGAAAGCAATATCAACACTTGCATATACTGAATACTTCATATCCAACGTTTTTTTCAGAGTTCACAGAAGCATCCATAGCAATGCCACTGCCACGTCTACATAATATCTGGCCACGTACCATTCCATTATCATAAATAACGATTTATTTAGTATCAGTCACGGTCGACACGCTGTTATCAAATCCAGTGCCGTAATCTTTGCCTATAATTCCGGGATATGCACAAGCCGAACACTAAAGACAGATAGACCTACCTCGTGTGCATTCAGCCCACACACTTCCTGGCTTGAGGGGGTAAGAGCGAGCAAGAAAGAAAGCAAGCAAGCAGGGTGTCAGCAGAGGAGGGGGGCAGGAGGGTAAGGGCGTAAGAGGGGAAGGGAAGTAGGAGAGGGGGGGAGGGTGTCGCAGAGATTCACATTTTGTGATGTGCGGTTGTTGGAATTGTGTTTTTTGTTTTTTTGCTTTCTGACATTCACTTTGGCTGAAATCTGTCCTCTCGTTCCCCTTTAATCGTCGCCAGCATTTCCATCGTAAGCTCGGGAAACAGGGATGTTGTTTTATGAATGATGACATATAGATGAATTACAATGATCAGAGGATCGGGTGGTGGTGGCCAACACATGGTGCGGCATGTTTTTTGCCGGAGGAGGCGAAGGAGGGAGGAAAGGAGAGAGGTGGGAAGGGGAAACCAGGAAGAGGATACGAGGGGGGGAGGAAGCAACAGAGGAGGGAGTGGCGATGGAAAAGACATCAGACACAAAATCGAATAGGACAGAAAAAAATGAGAAGAAAAAGAGGTAGAAACCAAAGGGGATTTGAGAGAGAAAGAGAGAATGAAAAGGGAAACGGCGTGCGTATCATAAGAAGGAGAGGGAAAACAGAATGAGGGGGGAGAAACAGATGAGAGGGAGAGCAACAGAGCGAGGATACAAACAGGATAGGAAGAGAACGCGAAGGAGAGGGTAGTGAGGGGAGAGAAGGAGAGAGGCACACATGAGGGTGAGCGAAGATGGGGGAGAGGAAGGAGGAACCGCAGGAGACGCTGAAGATGGAAAAAGCTAAAAGAAAACGGCGTAGAGTAGTAAAAAAAAATACCAATGAAAATAAAAAAAATAAAAAATATAGAATCCGACATTAAATAGCAAACACACAATCACACAAAAAACAAAACAACCGGTGGAATCATCAAAAAAATTAAATAAATAAATAAATAAACAGGCAATCAGATAGTAACCAACGCTAAAGTAAAGGTTAAAAAAAAAAAAGACCCAGCAACCCTCATAACACGCAGCAGGACATTCTGACAACAACCTTCTGCGTAAGGAAATACGCGTGGGCGGCGTGCAGCAGCGAAGAGGGAAAAGGAGAGTGAAGTGATGTAGAGAGGTTACCATGGAAGCAACGCTTGTTAGGTCTTGCAGAGTCGAGAAACAGAGACGGATTCAGAATCACTCGCGGGTTATCTTCCATGTGCGCGGATCTTAGCTGTGATGTGATGGGATTTTTGTTTCTCTTCTTAGGTGGGATTTGTTTTATTATCATTGTTATTATTAGTATGAGAATTTGTATTAGTATAAGTTGTTATTATTATTATCATTATTATTATTATTATTATTATTATTATTATTATTATTATTATTATTATTATTATAACTATCATTATTATTATTGATGTTGTTGTTGTTATATGTCATTATCATTATTATTATTATTATTAATGCCGTTGTTGTTAATCTTGTTGTTTTTATCACTTTTATTATCATTATTGTTATCATTATTATTAGTATCATTGATAATAATTGTTATTATTATTCATATCATCATCTTCATCTTCATCATCATGATTAAAGTTGTTGTTATCAGTATCATTATTACTAGTATTATTATTATTAATGATATCATTATTATTGTTTGTTAATCTTGTTGTTTTTATCACTTTATTATCATTATTGTTATCATTATTATTAGTATCATTGATAATAATTGTTATTATTATTCATATCATCATCTTCATCTTCATCATCATGATTAAAGTTGTTGTTAATCAGTATCATTATTACTAGTATTATTATTATTAATGATATCATTATTATTTTATCATTATTATTAGTATCATTGATAATAATTGTTATTATTATTCATATCATCATCTTCATCTTCATCATCATGATTAAAGTTGTTGTTATCAGTATCATTATTACTAGTATTATTATTATTAATGATATCATTATTATTGTTGTTGTTGTTATTATTATCATTACCATCATTATTACAATCATCATCACCATTATCCTGTGTAGGTATTTTTGCAGTTTAAATGGTCGCGTTGCAATTGTACCGGGTATATCATAATAAGGGTACAATTATGAATAAACAAAAGCCATATATATTTTCTAGCGTCATTTCATTTCTTGTCTGTTACTACCGTGCGAGAGTTACGATATACATAGTTTATTACAGACATTGGAATGCTTGTGATTCAAACGTGACAAGCCCCCTTTCAAAAAAATAAAAAAATAAAAAAATAAAATAAAATAAATAAAAAAATGTTTCTATATATATAGTGATATTCTTATTGATCGTAGCTCAAGCATAGCTGTGATGCAGTTGCAGCTTTGATAGTGTATGGCAGCACGTCACAGAGAATATTTCAGCTGAATATCAATGTTTATATATAATGTACACGTGGGCGAGGGGGTACTGTAGTAGTTTTGTAGTTACTGTTATTATGGAATGGGTAGAGTTGAGGTCAAGGCATGTTGCAGTTGCAGCAGTGGAAATCAAGAAATGCGGCCATGGACCTATTGTGGTCATGGAGATGAAGACTGTGTAACACTAGCTGAAAAGAGAATGTATTAAAGCTGCAAGGGGCGTTACACCTATAAGACTTGTTTTTGCTTAATATTCTATGAGAGTTGTGTTACCGTTTTCTTGCATCACACAGTGGCGGCATCAGCGAGGAAGCACAGCACTCGGCAAAAATGCAAATGTAACACCTAAGGCAAGTAATATAGTAGAGTACTTTAAGACCGCGTAACTATCTTATAGTAGGGTGATGTAACATGTAACAGTTTGTGATAATATCGCCCCATAGATAAAGCAAGTACAACATTCTGGAGTATGAAACCATAACAGTCACATCAGCACATAACATAACACCGTTATTGTAAAAGAATGTCACATTCTTGCAGTATGGAAGTGTAACCGAACAGCATTTGCAGATTACACAGAGAAAGTGTTACAAATGTCGGCATGGTTTGGAGCTGAAACTCATTACATAAGTGAACGCATTGACTGCAGTGTGGTGTGTTTACACCAACTTTAGCAAGTGTTACATTCTCAATGAGAGAGGTTTACCGCACAACCGTAAGTGCCATTGTGTTGCAGAACTAGAATCAGCATTCTTGAGTGTCATCCCGAAAGCAGTGCAAGGTAAACCCACAAACAACAGCAGATACATTTGCTGCCGCTGTCATTGGCTCTCCTCCCCACCTCATCTCTTCTCCCCCTTCCCTCCTACCTCCTCCCCCCCACTCCTTCGATCTCCCTCATCCACACCTCTTCTGTCCTTTTCACGTCAGCATCCTTGGCTCCGGATGCTTGTCTGTGCCTCAGCGAGAGATACCTAGTCATCACAAGAGCTTTTTTCCTTTTCCTTATGATAATGCTTCCAACGTAGGGATAGGGAGTAACTCAAGTTGGGGGGAGGGGAGATGATGAGGGTGAAGGTGAGTTTAAAAGTGGGGGGGTTGGGGTGATGGAGGGGGGGGGTAGGGAAAGAGGAAGGTGGGTTTCGGGGCAAGGGACGGTTAGGGTAGAGGGGTACTGGGGAAGGGGGGGGGGGGGTACTGGGGAAGCAGGGAATGAGATGATGACGTTTTATAAATATTCTTCAACATATGGTCACGAAAAGTTTCAGGTTCCTGGAATATAGGGTTCCCACTCAAGAGCACCAAGACGTAAAATAATTCTGAGGGTAATATCGAGGTGTAGTAGACGTCCGTAGGAGTTTTATTGTATACAGTTCCAAGGAGGAGTGAGGTTGGGAGGTCCGCTGGTGAGTGAGGTGACTCATCAATATTTTGAGGGAATGAACCCCTGCTCGTTTTACTTTTTTGTCCGTATTCTGACCGTTTTTTCTATGTCCCTGATTCCTCTAATGTATTCGTAAGGTTTGCTCTGCATTGCTCTGAACTGGATAGAGACATTCAAGCAAACATGGCAGAATCAAAGGCGGCCTTGAGACTAGTTTATACAAAACAACGGATAATGGCACAGTATTTTGCGACTGCGTATGAGATGCCATTGAAGTTGGCAATGGATTCTGTCGAAAGTTCTGGATAAAACCGGCCCAGGATCAGCCGATATTCCAATCACAAACATAATCGACACCAATCAATATAGGCGTCTCCATGTCCCCAAGAAGTAGGCCAAACGCCATTTACGATAATAATATCTAGAACTCAAAAATAACATCCCTCATCCATCCAGTTTCACAAAACTGAAATGGGAGATCCGATATTTCATTCCTAAATGAGTGACCGAAAGGCGTGAGCTAAAGGGCTCAAAAATGTAAAAATAGAACAAGTATGCGGGTAGCTCTGCTTTGACCCACAAGCCCTTCCCTTCTGGATGTAAAAGGGTAAATTTAGTTCTTCCCAGCCAACGGACACCCACACAACGGGTAAGATCATCTCCCCGCACACATATTATTGTAGGGATTTCATAACCAAATTAATTTTGATTAACAGGACTTTCATGTAAAGCAACCGAAGAAAAAAGGGGAATTTTTTTTGACCCAGCGGAATGTCAAAATCGCCTCTCCTCACACTATTTTATCTCGAAGACATTACAACTATAATGATATTTTACTTACCAAGACCTACAAGTAAAATTTTCATTAAAAAAGGGGAATTTTTTTGATCCCGCGGAGTCTCTTGCTTTGTGCTGGCATCCGCTTTGTTTACACTGCAGACGCTGTCACAAATGACTCCTAAAAGGTACCGTTTCTTTCCCATTTTATCGAAATAACCCTCGCGTTGTCCCAAAAATATCACATATTAAGTCGCTAGTCCGGTAGCAGGTATAGGAGGAGAGTAAAAGAGACTTCTGAAGTGAGGGGAGAGGAGAGTTCTGGGGGGAGGCTGAAACTCCACGGGAAACAACCCTCATTTCGGAGGATTGGCTTGAACTTGGAGGCTGAAACAAACCTTTTAATAGACTCGTACTAGAGATGAGGCCTTTAAAAGATTTATTTGCCAGCATCGTTTCCAAAGGGTAGAATGTAGAAATGTCCTAATTTATTATTCATTGGGAAATTTGATACAATCTAGTATAGTACATTATACTTCATGTTTCACTTTGCACATTCTAGTACATTATTATACAAATGGGTAATGCACACCTCTGGCGATTATCATTCTCCATGTATGGTGGAGTACTTACATACATTTATGTGAATGTTCATAGTTCATGTTCCAATTCTGAGGCAAATGTTCGTTTTTCTATTGCAGGAAAAAAATGTACCCTTGAGACATAAACCTGAACTCCGATGCCCATTTATGAATTTTCTGTAACTTTTATGCCAAGTTTACAGGTAATACTGTATTTAGTGTAAATTTCAGTCATTTGTTAATCTTCCAAATGCATCTACATGTTGACCAGTGAGTAACATGTATCCTTCATGCCGACAGTTAATGAACTTGTACCCTTTTTGTCTGTTGGGATGCCAGCAGAGGTCAGGAAATGTTCTTCATATACATTCTGACAAGATAAGAGCTGCCAGACCTTCATAATTTAGTGTCTAGTAAGGAACCAATATGAACACAATCTTGGTATGAGATATGGGTGGAGGTCGGCTGGAGCATTTAAAAACTTAGGGCTGCAACAATCTCTTGGCGGTGTCCTGTTGGAGATTTCCATTAAGATTTTAGTACCTTTTTTGCAGGTCATGGCAGGTTCTTAGTTGAATTTGATAGAACACAATCCGTATAAATATATGTTATTTATACCTGTGTAGAGTTGTTATGGGGTTCCATTTTTCTCCCATCTTTTGGAATACTTAATTTTAAGCAGATTGCTAGCTACAAATATGAACCATGTTCAAGTTTGGTTTGTGTTTAGTAATAGTATAATGATTGGAGAAGACATGAGAAGCAGATAAGACAAAACTACTAATGAATAAGCCAAGAGTTCATAGGTAAAGGGAATATAGGAAATGGTAATCTGGACTGCCATTATTGCAGTTTTCTTTGCTTCTTTTCAAACCACATGCAGTATGATAGCTGGTGTGTGTATATGCTCAAATTTAGAGAATTACAAATGATGTAGCAAGAAGTAACCAAATACTGTACTTCACTGTCTTTTTATTATTTTGATAGTAGTTAACCAGGTAGTTCATTTCCTTTTGAAGTCTCAGCAAAGACACAAAAGCTAAATTAACCATATAGGATAATCTCATAGGTCCTCAGATTTGATTTTATTGATTTCTCTGAGAGCATAAAATGTAGTTCTACTATATGTAATACTTGGCTTGCTATTTGATGCTTCCTGAGTAGGAACAGTAATCTACAGATTGTGGTCATTTGACAAGAAGGATAACCCTCCCCCCTCTTTGAGTTTATTATTCTTGGTTGTAATATAAAGAGGGTCATCCCCTCAGTGGATCCATATAGAGATGTATCATTGTCATCTGAGTGTGTGTGTGTGTGTGTGTGTGTGTGTGTGTGTGTGTGTGTGTGTGTGTGTGTGTGTGTGTGTGTGTGTGTGTGTGTGTGTGTGTGTGTGTGCATGCTTGAATAAGTAAATGCACGGAGCAAACTTTATGATATGTTCTTGAGATCCAGATGTTATTGGGAAACATTTTAAAAAGTTTATCACATAAGACATGTAATTCGAAACCAACAGAAACAAGAGATAAGAACAGAATATAACAGGTAATGATGCAAGAAATTAATTATTGCATCACCTTGAAAGATTTTCATTATTCTTTTCCAGGTGATACCAAGAATGCAAGGAATGCCCCAGTAGTCACCGCTGGAAATACGCAAAAGCTATAATGCTTCTAAATCCGGACATGCTTCCCCAACAAGATGGCGCCATGTCCATAGAGCCACAGTATGATGGGGTCATAATGCTCAGTCCCGAGGCTGTGCTCTTCAGCGATGCGAAGCCTAGACCTGATGGACGGAAGGTATACCACGTATTTGAGCGAACCCCGGGGGACGGGCCACGGGATGAGGCAGCACAGAATGATGACTTTAGGTCCAGAAGAGAGCAGCTCTTTTCTCAGGCACATGAGAATACCATACACAACATACAGCAGGTAACTAGAAAGCATATTATGTACTGCAGAATTGAGGAAGTGTTTTATTTGTATATTGTATTGGCTGTATGCATTCAGGAGAAATAGCCTCATTACCAGAAGAATTGTTTAAACCACAGCCAAGAGCATATAGGGCGAGTTAATTTTATGTTTCCTGTGCCTCAGATTTTTCCCTTGAACAGCTGATTGTATGCATCCTGATGTGTTGTTTGGTATGTTTTTTTGTTGTAGTTTATGTGTTTGTTTATTTAGTTTTTTTATTTTTATTTATGTATCTATTTATTTATTTATTTATTTCCCCCCCTTTTTTTTTTACTTGTCAGAATTTTTCTTTATTTTATGTTCATCTGTAGTCTACTTTGCCAATTTAGCTTTTCATCATATTGCTCTTACCTCATCTCCATGATATCACAATGAAAATTTTCCCCTGTAATCATGTCCTGTCATTCCAAAGGTGCTGGCCGAAAGCGGGCTAGTCAACCAGGACTGGTGTGAAGGGAGCCTGGGGGACACAGCCGAGGGTACACCAGTAGCACCAACTAACAACCATTCTACAGAAGTCCACAATATCACCCAAACTACACAAAGTAATGCCAACACACAGACCTGTCTTGATCATCAGCTACAGCCTCCACCCCGCAAGGTAAGTGCATTATCACCAAAGTACTAATAGCAGAGAAGCACAGAAGGATAAGGAGGAGGAAAATTATTTTGAACTGTACATCCAGGGTAAAGATTTGGTCAGAAGATGGAGCTGGATTTGAGAAAGGGATGGAGTTGGACCAGTACCTTCTGTAATTGAACATGTCCTTAAAAATACACAGCATCCCATTTCCTTGCCATGGTGTCCAGAAACATGCATATATGTTTGGTGCAGGTTTACTCTGAGATACAAATCCTTGGAAAGATTCTTGGGTAACCAGATTTGCACTGAGGTACATGAGAAAATAGTGTCAATATGAACCACCTGGATTATTTACCAGACATTTTTCATCGTCAGTATGAATTGTTGGACCATCAAGAACACTGTATTTTGTCTGAAGTATCTGAAATCCACTGTGAGTCTTTTATCATAAGTTCAAGCATTATATAGTTCTTCCATTCTCTCATAATGACTGCTGGAATATGGATCAGTCAAACAGTGCATATAGTTTTATTCTCTAAAGAGATATATATAAGCAGAGTACTTTTTAGGCAAAATCTAATCTGGTTGTTTTTTAGTATTTATCTCCATTCTCTCATAATGACTGCTGGAATATGGATCAGTCAAACAGTGCATATAGTTTTATTCTCTAAAGAGATATATATAAGCAGAGTAATTTTTAGGGAAAATCTAATCTGGTTGTTTTTTAGTAATTAACTGAACTTTTTTTTCACTCTACAGCTCCACCAATTTGAAATGGTGTTCCCCATTGAGCCATACAGCTGTGTGCAGAAACGACGGCTCCTAAGGCGCTTACGCCGCAAAGGAGTTGGACAAGTTGAGTTAGAACCTGAAAACCACCGCATTAATGTCACCACACGGAGATCAGCCAACGTAATCTTGTCTGTCCTGCGAGGAGTCGACCCCAATGCCAGGCTATTGGGGACATTCCGGGAAACGTTAATAGAGGATAACATAGATCCAGATTCTGTTGAGGTTGTGGATGGGTTATAGGATAAGGATAGGTGCTAGACCCTATGCTTTAGGGTCAGTAGTCAGAATTTGTTAGCCATGAATGACCAGGGAGTAGTTAGCTGCCAGGAGTTTCTAAGTAAAGATTTATATACTGTGAGCGAGCGTGGACACAAGCAGAATACTGTAGTCAACTTGCATGTCACTAAGCTACAAAGTTGGTTTCATACCTCATAGAACTGCAGAAACATTAACATAACCTGCTCTGGGCTGCTCTCATGAGATTTGCCCATATTTGTGCACATCTGCAAAGGCATTTGAACTTTTATTATATTGAGCTATTGTAAGGGATGGATGATATAATGTTCAAAATGTCAAACAGTGCATCCCTCAAAATTGTTTATAATGAGGTGGTTGGGTTTGAAAGCCACCTGTTGAAAGACTGGCTAAACTTGGGTTCAGAGTTAGAGTGGGATCAGTTTGTTCCTCTCAGCTTAACATCATGCATTTCTCTAGGTGAAAGAAACTAATAAGCAAGTCCAGGAAATGTATAAATGAATTGTTCTTCAGTAATCTGTAATCACAGACCATTCCTTTTTTTTCTTCTTCATTTGTTGATGATGATGGATTTATGTAGTTGTACATTTCTGTTAGTGAAGGAGGTTGTAATAATCATATGCCATGCCCTTGTCAATATCAAGATGCCCAGAATAGATACGGTGCACAACAGACACTGTTTGTTGTTGTTTTTGGGGGGATGGGGGGTCTGAGGGTATTGGAGCATTAATATTTTTTCTAGAGGTGCACATTTAATTGTAATCTCTTTGACACTTAAAAGTGAACATTTTCTAAATTAATGGTAAGAACCAAATGTGAAAGTCATACTGTGCATTACTTCAGCATGGTAATTCTTTGTGGGTTAGCATTCATTCTGTTTAAAGTGAGTGTTAAGTTAAATAACATATTGACAGCTACAGGGTACCTTCAAATCTCATGTTATAGTGAGTTCTAGTCAACATAAGGGTATGACAGTTTTATTATTTTATTTATTTATTTATTATTATTGTTGTTGTTTTTATTATTATTATTATTATTATTATTAATATCATTATTATTATTATTATGATTATTGCTATTATTATTATTATTATTATTATTATTATTATTATTATTATTGTTATCATGATCATGATCATCATCATTAGCATTATTGATATTAATATAATTTTTGAATTATGGCTCTTGATATAAAGATAATCATAATGATTATGCTTTTTTTCTCTATCTTTCTTTTTTTATCATAGTATATATATTTTTATTCTACTTTCTAATATTTTCAGTGTATTTAGTATATTAGTATTACAAGTATTATTAGTAACATTTTTTTATTGCTTTGTCTACCATGGGTATACCTTACCTGTTTTGAAGATTAAGGATTAATACTAATATTTGTTTATATTATCAGGCATTTTGTCTTCCTCTCATTTCTTCTTTGTCTTTTTTTTGTCTCTTTGATTTATTACTCCTACTGGTAGTGGTATATGTATTCAGTACTTCCTATGTTATCTTGTAAACACAGCAGTTTATGAGAGTTATGTGTAAGTTGTTTTATTCTGTAAGTAAACAGTTTTTTCTTCTTTGCCATAGAGAAGAGTATCCAGGTAAGAATGAGAGAAAAGAAAAATGCACATTGTTATTAAAGTAATACAGTTATATTTATATAAATTATTTTCTTTTGTTGTTTGTTTGCTTGGTGAAAAGCCAGATTGAAAGTGTTCACTTATTACCATATGTCTACCTAAGGTTCACTAAAACCAAAACCACGCGCTACCTACCAAGAAAGTCATTTTATCATAGCATTTTTCTCCTCATATTACATTGAACCAGCCAAGTATTTAGATGCTAGTAGAGCACACTTTAATTTACAATAGTTATTAGCATTTCATTGTATTTATTTATTTAATTTTTCATAGAAGGAAAGGAAAGTGAGTGCTTGTGCTCAGGACCCTAATATATTTTGCACAAATGGATCTTTTTTTTATACTGTATTTGTTCTGCATTGTCTGTCTCTGGGTCTTTTTTCCCTAAGATAGCAGTATCACCTATTCAATAAGTGCTTTTAAAGAGCAAATGCTGGATTGTGTGACATAAGCACTGGCACTATGTCTGGCAACATATATTACTGAAGAGTGTATTTGGAAATTTGTATTAGTGTAAGTAATCAGTGAAAATTCTGTAATTCAGTGAAAATTCAGTAACTGTATTGTATGGTGGTTAGGCCAAGATACTTATAGAATCTCAGATGTAGGTGGTAGTGAATGAGTTATATTTATATTAAGTTTTACATTATTTTCCCCCCTGCCAAGTCACCAGGGATGGATTATACATTCATTAAGGAGCACAAATAGTATTCCTTTCGGAGAATCTTAAGAAAATTATATGCTTGCTATCGTCCACTGGAATAATGTTTATTTGTATATTTATTAGGTAATCATAGCACATGCCCAAACTTGGCTCATTAATGTTATATTTTTCTTGCACACTTGATAATTTTCCATCACCAGGAGGTTTAAGAAGAAAGTCACTTACAGGGATTAGATTCTTTTTCATTAACTGCATCATTGTTTTGTGTATCAACATTATCGCAACATAATCATTATCATTATTCAGCACAACTGTATAGGATTACATTTTTATTATGATTGTAGCACAAAGTTATTATAGAAAAGTGCAGTCTACATACGTACGTACATACATACATACCTCCATACATAGATACATACATACATACATACATACATACATACATACATACATACATACATACATACATACATACATACATACATACATACATACATACATACATACATACATACATACATACATACATACATACATACATACATACATACATACATACATACATACATACATACATACATACATACATACATACATACATACATACATACATACATACATACATACATACATACATACATACATACATACATACATACATACATACATACATACATACATACATACATACATACATACATACATACATACATACATACATACATACATACATACATACATACATACATACATACATACATACATACATACATACATACATACATACATACATACATACATACATACATACATACATACATACATACATACATACATACATACATACATACATACATACATACATACATACATACATACATACATACATACATACATACATACATACATACATACATACATACATACATACATACATACATACATACATACATACATACATACATACATACATACATACATACATACATACATACATACATACATACATACATACATACATACATACATACATACATACATACATACATACATACATACATACATACATACATACATACATACATACATACATACATACATACATACATACATACATACATACATACATACATACATACATACATACATACATACATACATACATACATACATACATACATACATACATACATACATACATACATACATACATACATACATACATACATACATACATACATACATACATACATACATACATACATACATACATACATACATACATACATACATACATACATACATACATACATACATACATACATACATACATACATACATACATACATACATACATACATACATACATACATACATACATACATACATACATACATACATACATACATACATACATACATACATACATACATACATACATACATACATACATACATACATACATACATACATACATACATACATACATACATACATACATACATACATACATACATACATACATACATACATACATACATACATACATACATACATACATACATACATACATACATACATACATACATACATACATACATACATACATACATACATACATACATACATACATACATACATACATACATACATACATACATACATACATACATACATACATACATACATACATACATACATACATACATACATACATACATACATACATACATACATACATACATACATACATACATACATACATACATACATACATACATACATACATACATACATACATACATACATACATACATACATACATACATACATACATACATACATACATACATACATACATACATACATACATACATACATACATACATACATACATACATACATACATACATACATACATACATACATACATACATACATACATACATACATACATACATACATACATACATACATACATACATACATACATACATACATATACACACATACACATGCACATACATACACATACAAATACATGTTCATACAGTATAGACATATACATATTTAAATACATACAAGCAAAGATGGATACTTACATAAATACATATGTATACATATGCATATACATATTCGTATACCTAAACCTATAGACAGAGAGTGTGTGTGTGTGTGTGTGTGTGTGTGTGTGTGTGTGTGTGTGTGTGTGTGTGTGTGTGTGTGTGTGTGTGTGTGTGTGTGTGTGTGTGTGTTGTGTGTGCGTGCGCGCGCATGTGTGCATGCATGTGTGTGTGTAATGTATGTATGTATGTATGTGTGCGTGTGTATGTAGGCACAAACATAAAAAGATTTCTCAAAATGTATGTGGATTTATTTTTGTTCTGCAGATATTTTAGACAGTCACTGTGGGTCTGAAAAGTGTGACTGTTATAGAAGTAACACTTATTAAAAGGTTGGGTCTTCCTTGCACGAGTCTGCATGGATTTACAATCGTAATATTTCCGGACACAACCATTTGTTACATAAAGAGTTTTTCTTTTTGTTTATGTTTATAACATTTTTTTTTTTTTTTTTTTGAGGAATGGTGGAGAATGTCCAGTTTACCATTTAAGTATGTAGTATGCAAATGGGATATTTCACTATTCCTGTTTGCAACCTCCCTCCCTCCCTCTTGTATATTCATGTCCTGTGTAGGCCTATTCATGTGTTTGTTTTGAAATTTTGCTAGTCTTATATTTGTTTTATATTTATTATTTTATTTTTATTTATTTACTTTTTTATCAAATCTATGGGGTCTTTAGTTGAATTATATATATATATATTTTTTTTTTTCTAAGACTAGAAAAACAAACATGCATATATGGATTTTTGTTGTTGTTGTTACAGCATTTTCTTTCGTATTTTGTCAGTTCCAAGTGAATGAAATTGAATTGTTTAAATTAGGGCAAAGTGTCCCAGTTTTCCTTGTTGAAAACTTAAAAATTGTTTCAAAGGAAAAACTTTCTGTATACAATTTACCCCATGTATAATAAGTATATTGCATTTGCGGAAATTGGTTAGCAGGTTCATTATTTTAATAATTTTGTTTGTTCTTTTCTCACTTTTTTTTTTTTTTTTCTTTTTTTTTTTTTTTTTTTTCTTTACTATGGTGGGTTGAAATAAAGGCAAAGAGGCAAAAAATGTGTATGAATTTACAGGTATAAAAATGTAGAGTATGTCTGCCACTGAAAAATAATGATTTTCATTGTAATGACTGAACATTGGATCTAAATTTGCAGTTGCTGATACACTGTATATAGTAGATTTAACAGATTCCATGTCATTGATTGTTCTATATATGTAAGTAAATTGAAGATAAGTTCTGAGTCTCATTACATGTCAAATAATACTGTACATAGTTCGTCTTTGTAGGGATTCATAGAGGATAAAGCCATACATTTAACAAGTCATTTATTTATTTTGCTAATTGTTCACAGATGCCATGTGTGTGTGTTTTCATACCAGATCACCCAGACGAAGTGCAAAAACAATAATTGTTGTTTGAATCTGTTGTACGGATAATGTTCGTTGGGTGGATTAGTCCGTCCCGAGCCTAAGTTTGAGCTTCAGTGTTGATCCAGTTCATGATGTTATGGCAAAGGAAAAAAAGGGAAAGATAAGTATATACTTCTTCTTTTTACTTATAGAAAGAAAAAAAAGTGATAAAAGTGATAAAAGAAAAAAAAATGGATTGAAAAACAATGACAAGGACTCAATGAAAGTTTCCTATTTTCCCTTGGCAGACTCCTTTAGAAAATAAAACTTGATAAAAAATCTTCAATGCAGAAAGACAGTACAACCCTACTTATCAAGGGTCCTTATGATATTATTATTTATTTTTTTGTTTATTTTTTTATTGATTGATTTTTTTTACCCCACTGAATGCACACTTGTGTATATATGAGATATGATAGCAAAATATCTGATCTTTTAGCTAAAAATTGAACACTATGCTGTAAGATTGAGGAAACATTCATCTCTTTCTACCCACTTAGCACAGTCATCTTTCAACTGCTGGTAATATATCGCTAAGTCCCTTTTTCAGATCATCATCAGTTACTTTAAAGTGTTTCCTCTGCTCCACCAGTATGCTCCAGAGGGTCAAACTGTCAGTAATGAGTATTGTCTGTGAGCTATTCCTTACCTTTGAGATGTAGTAAATAATAAAACAAAGCTTTTAGTAATGACAGTCCCCACACTCAGAGCAGATGAAAGTAAAGGCCAAGGTAACTTATAAGGATCTCATAATCGGACCTGGAGAATTTGGGGGGATCCACGGGCTGGGTATGTAGAGTGCCAGAAGGCTGTACAAGGAGTATGAAAGTTTTCTTCATTTAGCAGATATGATTTTCATTTTCTAGTTAAAGGTCAGATACTTTTCAATCAGACCCTCATTTATGGTTGGCACTTGGAAGAACAGTGCTAGTCTTTGGTCGATGTCACAAGTTAGCTTCCGTATTTGAACATAATACAAATGCTCAAACTTGTTATCTGTACTTATGTACTGTACCTACCTAATCTATAACTTAATAGTGTTATTTGAATATCATCCATAATTAAATGTTAATTTTTTGAGTTTTTCTTGTCATGTACTAAAGGCAAGCCAAATGATTCAGGATATCACCAGATAGGTAGTTGATCTTCAGGAACCTTCCTTTATATTTTACAACTGAAGATCTGTAAAAATTAGAGTTTGATTTTATAAATGTGATTATCATCTAAGTGTGTGCCAAATAAGCAGCATTGGAGCTTGTGTGTTTTTATAACTATTAACGTAACATCCGAGTTTTTCTGGTTGCAATCCTCCAGTCTTTGGCTTACCTTTTTCATTTTGTATTTAATCTTGCCAGCTCATATTTTGTATGATATATCAAAAAAACAAAATAAAAAACTTGTTGTTCATGCATGTACATAAAGATATACTTTTCATTTCTACTTACTGTGTGTAAGGTACATATGTGGTGTGCATTCACTGTTATGTGTGTTAATAATGTGGTGTACACGTCATGTAAAGTATTTGTGCCAGTACATTGCACATGTCTGAAGATTGCAAGCAACACGACTGTTGCAGCAACATTTGAGAAGAAATAGAGATTGTAACTTCAGATGACCCTTCACACTTGGCAAAAAAGCTTTTAATATATTGCGTTTTAGGATTTTAAGTCTAGTCCAAAACTATTTGATACTGTTTTGTAGGGTGCCTTTGTATCATCATTGCAGAATATCAGTACTATCTCATGGCGGGCTTTATATATGATACATCCAAATGTAATTACACAGCCCAAGTGGGTTTCACAGTAATTTTCAAAAGGAAAGGCTGAAAAGTCTCTCTAAAGATA